GCTGCTGCTTTGCTGCTGCTGCTTCGCTGCTGCTTTGCTGCTGCTGCTTCGCTGCTGCTTTGCTGCTGCTGCTGCTTGGCTGCTGCTGCTTGGTACCTGCTGCTGCTGATGCTGCTGCTGCTTGGTAGCTGCTGCTGCTACTGCTGCTGCTGCTTGGTAGCTGCTGCTGCTACTGCTGCTGCTGCTTGGTTGCTGATGCTGCTGTTGCTTGGTAGCTGCTGCTGCTGCTGCTGTTGCTGCTGCTTGGTAGCTGCTGCTGCTGCTTGGTAGCAGCTGCTGCTGCTGCTGCTTGGTAGCTGGTGCTGCTGCTTGCTAGCTACTCCTGCTGCTGCTTGGTAGCTTCTGCTTGCTGCCGCTGCCGCTGCTGGTTACAGTTATTGTTGTTGTGGCTGTTGCTGCTGCTGCTGCGGCGGTTGCTGGGGTGGTTGTGTGTTGCCATGTGTTGGCTGTGTTGGGGTCGTATTGGGGGGGCGCTGTTGGCACTCTCCTTTTCCCTTGGCCATGGCATGTTGCGATTCCCGGCCAGGCTTTTGCTGCCTAAAGAGCCCCAGCGTTGTTTATTTGCCTAGCTTTCGCCACCCCCCTCTCGGCCACAAGTGTCGCTGTGAATGCCGGTGGAGGCTCCGCAGAATCAGAAGTTGCGTTGCGGCCATTTGCGAAGCCAAGAAGGCTCGGGCGTTTGTCAGCGCAAGATCAGTGCGATTTGAGGAATCAACTGTTGGTCCATGTGGCCCATGTGGTCCAGTGATGCATTCCGAAAACGTTCGATTTTGGAACGTTGCTGGAACCATTGGACCATTGGCCAGGTGGTTCTTCAGACTTACTAAATACAGCAACAAGGTAGGTCAACCTTTGTCTTTCTTCAATCCTCCCCGGTCGGAAAAGATTCGACCACTCAGATTAGTCACGGGATAGAAATGAATGCCGAACTGGCGCATATATATTTTTTCTCCCTCAGCCAGCCGGCCTGTCCAAAAATCTTCGATGTTCAACTGGGTAGTGGTTTCAGAGATGTTTGTTCTCAGCCTTTACTTCGTATGAGTTGGAACCACCAACCACCAACCAATGAGTTGGAACCACCAACCAGTCTATTTGATATAGGAACCCCAGGGTGGAACTTCTGAACTTGAGAACCGTGAAGGTGTGCGATAAAACAGTAAACTGAAAGAAGAACCCTTAGGACCGTGGCGGGTGTTGAAACACGCGCGGGTGTTTGCTCGCTTTACACGCTCAACAGTTAGCATTTTTTACGACTTGGCGGGGCTTTCCACGCCATGGAGCAAGGAATCCGCTATGACAAAACCTTCATCCACATCGAGGAAGCCCCAGCAGGTCTGCTTGCGGCTTCAAAGTGTCGTGCCAAGAGTGCTCCTCCCATGTTCGGACGAGAGAAAGATCCGGAGGTGAAACTTGGCTTCAGTTCAGCAAAGTGGTTGCTTTCATATGATGCCTGATGAAAGCCCCCTAGTGCAGGGAGGGTGATAGGAACCAGTCGCAAGGTTTGTTTACCGTTTACCTTGAACTACCTTTCTTGAAATCGAAAGAAGGTCGAGAGAAGACTTGAGGTTGAGTAACCTCAGCAAAGGCAATATGTTCTAATATGCTCGACAGAAACAAGAGGGCATTGAAAGGAATGCACAGGAATCAACAAGAATGAACGCCAAGCAGGGAATTCAATAGAACCCAAAGACAAGGTCAAAGCGGAGCAAAGGGAAGTTGAAAACACTGCAAATATAGGCACAACAGATATAATGGAATCAACACAAGTTATATCAATTGCTTAGTGATTAGGTAAAAAAGACAGCTGTTCAAAAGTCATAGACTAGCATAGAGTGTATAGAGCATCCAATTTTTGGGATGGACTACTTGCCTATTGTTTTTGTTGATGTGGTGCGACAAGAGGGTTCAAGGGCTCATGAGTACATGTGTTTTTTGTTTCAATCCATTGGCTTTAAGCCTTACAAGAAACAATGTTGAGACTTGAAGGTTTCTTGGAATGTCCAGGTGTTTCAAAGGAGTTTAAAGGGGGGAAACAATCCAATGAAAGCTGAATTCAACAGCTTCTTGTTACTAGTAGCGATGGCCTCCAACCTAGTAGCGATGGCCTCCTCCACCTAGTAGCTTCTTGCTACTACTAGCAATGCCCTTGTTACGGAGTTTGAGTACTCAGACGATTTCGGACGGTTCCTATTTGCAGAACAGAAGCCTCGTAGTGAACACAATGTTGGCAATAGTCTTGGCCTATATCTGAGCGTGTCTGGCCTGGCTGCCACGCATAGATCGTGTGAACGTGGGACGTCGACATTCATGTATTCAGATGGGACATCGGGGACGTTGGACGTCGACAGGAGTCACAAAGGGGTGGTTTTCAGTCTCCAAGTGAGTGGATGGTAACTTAGTGGGCACCCCCTATCCTTCAAGTTCGGCACCGCGTCAGACGTGACTCCTGGAAGATGATCATGTTCAGTCGGTCTTTTAGGACAGCAGAGGTCTGCCCCGTTCCATTCTCCATTCCTTCGCTGGCCCCTTCGCTGCCCCTTGTACGCACTTCCTCTGGTTTTGCAAGGAAGTGGCGGATGTGGAAGGGATTTCAAGTACAACAGCTCATGATGCAAACTCAGCAACGAGCTCTAAGTCTTCCTCTTCCACCTGCAGCAAGTTCCTAGGATGGCAACAGGTTCCTGCTGGCACTTTTCCTTGATGTTTGGTCCAGAGAAGTTCGGACTGCCCAGCAAGCCTCAGATCCGTCAGACTCTGGGTGACATGTCCCTGTTTCTCATATGTTCCCTAAAGTTTTACTTTACTTTGATGCAAAACGGTCCTCAGGTTCGGAAAAAGCAGCCGTTCACGGAGCTGCTCTGTTTGCTGGAAGCTTTGGACATCCAGACTTATGCAGAAGGCCATGTATCCTCTTCATGAAGAACATCTGTCGGATCTTTGGAAAGGAAGAGGAATTCTGCATCCGCTTACCTTTTTTGTGGCCATCCAAAAATGACACCCAATTGTGTTTAGGAATACGTAGGAGGCAAACTTCAACAGATGTGGTGAGAACCATGAAACTATCTATGGCAGGTGTCTCGGAGGCTCCAAAATCGATTGATGCAGTTGAGGAGAGGCTCGACCTGTGGCTTTTGTCACTTGCCACATGAAACACGCCTCCCCAGCTTCAACCTCCAGCAGAGACACTTTCTCCAGAAGCTCTCCGACTTCAATTTTCTCCAGCCACTTGGACTCAGCACATGCTCAATTGCATGCGTGTGTGTTTTGTTTGTTTGGTTTGTTTGTTTTGTTGTTCGTTTGGTTGTTTGGTTGTTTGTTTGGTTGTTTGGTTGTTTGTTTGTTTGTTTGGTTGGTTGCTTGGTTGGTTGTTTGTTTGTTTGTTTTGTTGTTTGGTTTTCTGTTTGGTTGTCTGGTTGGTTGTCTGGTTGGTTGTCTGGTTGGTTGTCTGGTTGGTTGGTTGGTTGGTTGGTTGGGGTTGGTTGGGGTTGGTTGGGGTTGGTGGGGGTTGGTTGGGGTTGGTTGGGGTTGGTTGGGGTTGGGTGGGTGGGCTGGGTGGGCTGGGTGGGCTGGGTGGCGCGTGAACTGCTGGCTGTCTGTCTGTCTGTCGGTCGGTCGGTCGGTCGGTCTGTCTGTCTGTCTGTCTGTCTGTCTGTTTCTGTGTGTGTTTGTCTGTTTCTGTGTGTGTTTGTTTGTTTGTTTGCTTGCTTGTTTGTTTTTTTCTTTGTTTCTTGGTTTCTTTGTCTGGTTGTCTGCTTGCTTGTTTGTTTGTTTCTTTGTTTCTTGGTTTCTTTGTCTGGTTGTCTGCTTGCTTGTTTGTTTGTTTCTTTGTTTCTTGGTTTCTTTGTCTGGTTGTCTGCTTGCTTGTTTGTTTGTTTCTTTGTTTCTTGGTTTCTTTGTCTGGTTGTCTGCTTGTTTGTTTGTTTGTTTGTTTCTTTGTTTGTTTGTTTGTTTGTGGGTTTGTTTGTGTGTGTGTGTTTGTTTGTGTGTATGCATGTATGTATGTATGTATGTTTGTTTGTTTGTTTGTTTGTCTGTCGGTTTGTTTGTTTGTTTGTGTGTTTGTTTGTTTGTTTGTTTGTTTGTTTGTGTGTTTGTGTGTTTTTGTTTGCTTGTTTTGTTGTTTTGTTTGTTTTTTTTGTTTGTGTGGGTGTTTTTTTTGTTGCTTTGTTTTGTTTTGTTTGTTTGGTTTAGTTTGGTTTGGCTTGGCTTGGCTTGGTTTGGTTTGGTTTGGTTGTTTGTTTGTTTGTCTGTTTGTCTGCTTGTTTGTTTGTGTGTTTTTGTGTTTGTTTGTTTGTTTGTTTGCTTGTTTGTTTGTTTGTTTGGTTTGTTTGTTTGTGTGTTTGTGTGTGTCGGTGTGTCGGTGTGTCGGTGTGTGTCCACACCTGTTTCTAAGGAACCTGCATCGCATAAGACAATCCCCTTTACAGCAGGGGGATCAGGCTTCCAGTGACTAACCTGATCCAATGAAGCTGGGTCACTGGAAGGGAAGTGGTTGAGGACGCTCAACCATGTACCTGCAACATCTTCTGGATGATGTAAACAATATTGTTTCGGACTCATTCACCTTGCCGTTCCCTCTCAGGGCTGTTTCTCAGGTCTGAGGCAGCGCTCTAAACCGGTATTGTAATCACTAGAGTGGATTGCCATAACTGACTTAGCTCTTGCGAGCATCAATCTAAGTGTGTATCGCCACAGGGCGCAGCATGTGCACATACCCTTAAGGGTGATCCTTCCTGATTCCTCGTCCTGCAGCTGAACCCTTCCTCGCACCCCCTTGATCTACTCTACTGCTTGAAACTGCTGATCACACGCCGCAGGGCTTACTGAGATCAAAACTCCGGTATCGATCTTCTCATGCAGCTACCTAATCACATGTCCACGACACATGCGGCTAAGTAGCCATAGGACGGCTAAGTATTAACTTTTCGGTTCTTGCTGTTGCTCTTCGTTTTTGTGTCTTCTTTCGTTTTCTAGAGGCTTTTTAGGTCTCAGATTGAAATTTTTGTCAAGGGCTAAGTATTCACCTGTACGTTTCACCTGCGCCGGCTTCGGCTTTTTGTCACGCCTGCGGGCAAGGACCCCCCACACCCCCACCCTACACCCCCGCACCCCTTGCACCTTTCTCTTCTTTTCTTGCCTTTTCGCTTGCCTTGTTCTTTCTCTCAGGCTTGTTAGGTGAACATCCAAGCTCGTTTAGTCAACGCACTCCCCCCTCACCCCACCCCTACCGGCAGAAAAAGAGAGCGCGCCGGATTGCCGGCTTTTTGTTTGCGTCCACATCTGTTTCTAAGGAACCTGCATCGCATAATTCACCGCTGGTGGACAAAGTCCTTTACAGCAGGGGGATCAGGCTTCCAGTGACTAACCTGATCCAATGAAGCTGGGTCACTG